CACTGTGCTATTGTATGGAGTACCTGGAGGTAAGAATGTCAATTAGGTCCAGAGGGAAAGTGATAAAGTTTTGACCAATATTGGAGCAAGAGCCAATTCCAGACCTGAAGGGCAGCTAGGGGCCATAGTCTCAGTGGTTCCACCAGGCTCTATTGGACCAGCAAACCTGGTCCCCTCCCTTTTTTTTTTCTCCAAATGTTTTTGAGTTTTGTTCTATATTGTTCTCTCTCTCTATCAAGGATCTCCTACATAGATCCCCTTCGAAGTGGATGATAGTGGTAGCCGGGCACTATCTAGTTATTCTGGTCTCATAGTCATATAGGCTGCAGATCGGATGGTGTACCAGTCACTAGGACTAATTGTTTCCATGAATTTTGGTTTTCTTCGTTCTTCTTTGCTCTGGATGAGGAGAGACCCATCGTTGCATCTCGATGACAGCTTGCTAGCTTTTAAGATCCCATTCACTACTCGCCAGAGTAGGAGGTGAAACAATGTTTTGTATAGTATGTTATGCCAATTGAGCTTGATGTCCTACAGGGAACATTTTTAAATCATCTACTATTAGCAAGTTTAAGAGCTCTGGTAGCATAGTGGCTAAAGCACTTGACTGCTAACCAGAAGGCTGGCGGTTCAAACCCACCAGCCACTCCTCAGAAGGAAGGTTGGGCAATCCTACTTCCGTAGTGATACTGCCTCGGAAACCCAAGGAGGGGTCGCTATGAGTCGGGGCCGACTCGACGGCACATAACAACAACAACAACAATTAGCAAGTTTCTGTTCAGTGCATATACTTAAAGTTTTAGCAGTTATTAATAATATATATTGCTGTTTGAATTCCATGTATTGTGTACCCTACATTTTCTCAATCGATTCCCCAGCAGAGTGAATTCTCTAAATATTAAATATACAAAAAATGGAACGCACTGCCATGGAGTCAGATCTGATTCGTAGAGACCCCTCCTTGGGTTTCCGAGGGAGTATCACTGCAGAAGTAGATTGCCCAACCTTCCTTCTGAGGATAGTATTCATTTATTCAGGACTTAAGTTGTCGAGGCACACAGGATCACCAGTCATCCTCTTTTTGGCAAATATGGAGAAAAGGATTGAGGAGAAGGATTTCAGAGCCTTTGACTTCTTTTCACAGCCTGAATTGTTTGTTGATAGTATTTAAAAATAAAAAGTTATTGAATTTTACATATGTAACTTCTGTCTGATCACCTTTCTGAACCTGTATTGTAAGTTCTGTTTTTCACTTGATTCTCTTGAATTTTCTAATGAGGCCTGTATGATATATAACGTCCCAAAAATGGAATGGCAAGGTAGCTTCTGTGTATCATAAAGTGAAAAAGTGAAGTTTCAGAATCCTAAATGTAGAATCTAGTCTTTATCCAAAACAAAAAAACAAGCACTGCTTATGGTCCTTAATTTGGAGCAATTACTCCTTCCCCAAAAATTCCTGTATCAATATAGGTGCCTAAATCTTTTCCACCAAAATCTTATGTTTCATTTATTGAAAACAGGATTAGTTTTCTTTTTCTTTCAAAACTCTTCAGACATTTGTTACTTTACAGTGTGTCATAGAAATTATACCTAAATTTAACCTTGTGACTCATTTCTTCATAGACACAAAATCGAATGAAGCTAATGGCCGACAACTATGAGGATGACCACTTCAAATCCTCCCATTCCAGTCAAACCAATCACAAACCCTCCCCTGACCAGGTAAGACTACTCTCACATGTTTCGTAAAAGCTATTGTGCTTTTATTTTGATGTATTTTGTATTAGCGTGTTGCAAATTCTAGGGTATAGATTATGTTCTGATATGAAGTTAGAAAAATTAAAAATACCTAATTCAGTTTCTGAAAGTTCCTTAACTTTCTTCTTTTTTTTCTTGCGGGGGGTGGGGAGGGTAAGGAAAAACATAGATTTAATGTATAGAAAGGTGGTAATTCTGAATATTTTAAGAACAGATACTCCAAAGATTGATAATGATGATAAAGAATCCTTGAATTAAGTTGCAGAAAAATTTTAACCTTCTCAGTGATGCATGTTAATTTGTAGCTGTCCTAGTTTTCTTATCAAAAAAAAAGTCTCTTATTCAAAAAAATGAGACTCCTCTTATGAGATCAAGGAGTAGTAACTTTTGTTTGTTAGTGGTAACTTTTGTTTAATTGCAATTTTTTAAATTTCTGGGCATCCCTTCTTAAAACTGAAGATTTAAGCATAGGCTCCTTATTCCATGTCCTTGGTGGATCCTACCAGCATATGTCATTTTCAAGGAAAATTGTTGCTCTCAACTTCTCACCAGTGCAGTACAGACAGGGATGAATCTGAAGGGAACTATATCCAACTCCAACAATTTGGAAGAAGGGAGCTCTCCCAGGATCTTGAAAGTGATGGATGGGTTAGAGTGGTGAACAGATTACCTCATATCCCATTGCCAAAAATCAGATTTCAACATCTCCATCACACCCAGTCTTAAAATATATAGCTGAAGGGAAAAAAAATAATGGTTAAGTAATTATATCCATATGACTAAAAAGTCAAAACTCCTCTGCTCGCTATCTCCACTAAACGACAGCTATAGCCTTGTCTTAGGACAAGCTTCTTAGGAGAAGCAGCAGAAATATTGCAGATGAGAGCAGTAAAGAAATCCAAATTGCAAATTTTTAAGATTCAAAAAGTACAGTCCTAGTTTGATGACACTAGACCAGTTGAAGCAAGCTAAAATATAAATTTTAGAAGGAAAACAGTATCAATCTTTAATGTAGGCAAAATAAAATGGAGAGCTGCCTGCTGTTATCTGCAACCTTTCTCTACCAAGAAATCACTTTTTTTATTTTTTTGCCTGCTTCCTGATACCTGGATTAAATTTCTCTCAGGGTGTATAAGATACATATCAAATCCTTTCCTTGAAACAGGTTTTGATAATAGAAAAGGAATTAGATGCTTGGAATTAAACCAAAAACCAAACCAAACACTCTGCCTTCGAGTTTATTCCGACTCATAGCAAGCCCCATTGGATTTCCGAGGCAGTAAATCTTTACGAAAGTAGATTACCCTGTCTTCCTTCCATGGAGTGGCTGGTGTATTTGAACTGCCAGCCTTCTGGTTAGCAGTCAAATGCCTTAGGCACTGCACCACCAGTGAGATTAGGTGGAGACAGAGATGGAAAAGGGTTGAAGAAAAGGGAAGACAAAGAAAAGCATTCGACTTGCTATTTTTGCCCAGATATAGCCCTGGGATGGAGAATGCCTCTTGGAATGGTAGAAAGAGTAGAAATTTAATGACAAACTAATTACTAATTTTAATAGTTTAGAGAATTAGAATTCAATATAAATAGAGTCAAGAAATTAGAGACCATTTTCTTCTACATTATGCTTATGTCTTTGTTTTAAATACTAACCAACTCTTTTTCATTCCCATGCTGCTCTGGGGCATTGTTCCCTTTGTCATCTCTCTCAATAGGATGAGGAGGAGGGTATATGGGCATAGCCAATCAGATGCTCTTAGTTCAGCCATTTTGTTCAGAACGGTGAGAAACAGCTTTCTTTAATTATAGACATGGGTTTTTTTTCTGTTTTGTTTTTATTATTATTATTTTACACTCTCACTATCACATCTTGTTTCTGTGTAATTCATGAAATCTCTCAGTGTGCTTTCCTTTTTTTCTTTTTCACATGTTTTTTGTGTGTATTGCTGTGCTTCTGACATAGTGGGGTTTAGATTCTGTGGCTTCTTTTTTTCCTTGTTGTATGTTAATAATCACTTTTATAATTTCTCTTTATGCATTTTTTTGGGAGAACTTCCAGGGCATATAACTAAATTTCTCCAGTTGTGGCTTTATTAGTAAATTACCCTATCCAGGGTGATATATATATATTTTTTTTTTTTTTTTAAATCGCAGTGTCCTGGTAAGAATTATAATGACTTATATCAAACTGGAAGTAGAAAATTGATCACATACTCTGCAGTTAGCCTAGGTTTAAGATATGCTCTCGATGATAATTAATGATAAATAAATAGTCTTTTTCAAAAATCTGAACTGTGGACTTAAAACTTCCTTTTGTTTCTATCTGAAGAAGAATGCTTTAAATTCTCAGTCAGTAATTCTACTTAGAGCTTTGAAATTACTTTCAAACTACCTCTAAACATAAGGAAGAGCAAAGAAGTAAAGGAAGACTTTTTTTTAAATGTCGATGTAAAGAACTGGTTTTCCCTTTCCTTCATGGATGCGTGGATGGCTGCTGTGTTAAATAGTTGCCAGGACACTGTCTACCTTCTCCTTTCTAGGCTGATTGGCTGGAAAATATAGTCCAGCTGTGGCAGTATCTCCCTTTGATCTGATGCCCTGGAGGTTTGACTAAGGAAATCCTTTTCTTAGGAAAAATAATAATTATGATTAATAAGTTCACACATATTGGTGACCTTGCACTCTCTGGATTCACTGCATATTGGTGAGCTCACTCTTTTGGAGTCAGTTCTCCCTGAAATGTCTGTGTCTTGGTGTTAAACCGTGTAAAGTGATGAGGACACGTGTAGACCTCTTACTGGTGAACACAGCCAAGAAGGATGATGAGGTAAGTTGTGAAAAGGGCATACACTGTGAAGATGGGAAGCTTTCCAAATGACTTAAACCTGAGGATGTGAAAGAAAGTGAAATGCACAGTGGGAACCAAAAAGACCTTTGGGTTAGAATGCTGCATGACAGAAAATAACTAAAGCTGAGAAAATGAGTGTCCTAATTCTCTTTATCTACACTCTGCAAGGATAGATATTTGTCATCATGAGGCATGTGGGGGCTGTACAGTAGTTAAACATAGTTGACCAGTCTCTTACTTAGAAATGAACTTGTTTCTGCCTTGTCAATTTTGGCAGAGCATAGGAGGAGCTTCTTGGAATGCCTTAGCAGGAAACACCCCTACACATACATGAGCAGGATTGTGTTTTGATTACAAACCCTTTTTGTAGCCAATGAGAAGAAACATGTTAGTGTTCTGGGAAATAAAGCTCATAGATAACTTCACCAGGAGACTAAAAAATTAGCAAACCCTAACAGAGACTTGTTCCTAAAGTCTCCATTTTTCTTTCTCTTCTGCCATAATAGAGTAACTCTCAGCAAGAGTTCAAATGCTGTTGACTCTGCTTTTCCTAATGGTTAAACTGTTAAGCTTGCTTACTGCCCTCAATATTAACTGCCTTCGGTTCAACAAGGTTAGCTGATTAAAGCTGGGGTTTCTGTGACACAGTGTTTCAAAGTTTGTAAAATGAGCTGCACATATCATACAAGTTTTACCTAAAGAAATGTATGTGACTCCTAAAACATTGCAGAAATCTTGATTTGCTTTTCTGTTTCTTTCATTTAGTTCCTTGCCAACTCTACAGAGGACAAATTTTCTTAACAAAATCTTTACGTTTTGAAATGTATTGCTTACTCTTATCAAATATAAGAACATAAATAATATTTTGCGACTAAAATATTTTATAGGACACCAATGGATACTGACACATATGAGCATTACTAGATAAAATTAATACTCAGATAGGAAGAGAATCATAGAAGTATAGAACTGAAAGGATTTTGGAGTTAGACCATTTCATGAGAGGTGGTAGAGCATATTGGTGCAGAATGTAGGCTTTGGAGCTAGAATGCTTATCTATGTTCAGATCCTACCACCACCACTTACTCACCTGTGACCTCGGTACTCTCTGTACTTCAGTTCCCTCATCTTTAAAATAAGAACTGTTGTGTGAATTAGATGAGTTATCTACTTACTCTGTCACCTTGGGAAAGTAACTGAACTCTCTAAATCCCAGTTTCTTTATCTATAAAATGAGTTTCTTAATAATACCTACTTCATAGAATTATTGGAAAGATTTAAAAAAAAAAAAAAAAAAACTCACTGACGTCAAGTCGGCTAGACTTACAGCAACCCCTTGTTGCGTTTCCAAAGTGGTATTCCTACAGAGGCAGATTTTCCAATCTTCCTTCCAAGGAATGGCTGGTGGGTTTGAACCACCAGCCTCCTGGTTAGCAGTCATATGCCTTAGGCACTACGCCACCAGAGCTGCCATTGGAAAGATTAGATAAGGTAATATAAGTAAAATGCTTTGAGTAGTCCCAACACTAGTAGCAAAGTTCAACAAGACAGAAAATAATAGGTACCGGCAAAGATGCAGAGAGATAAGGACTCACATACACTGCTGGTGGGACTATAAAATGGTCCAACCACTGTGGAAAGCAGTATGGTGATTCCTTAAAAATTTGGAATTAGAAATACCATTTGACCCAGCCATTCCATTACGAGTATATATGCTAAAGAAGTGAGAGTTGGGACAAAAACAGATACATGCACACCCATGTTCATCGCAGCACTATCTACAATAGCCAAAAAATGGAAACAACCTAGGTGTCCGTCAACTGAAGAATGGATAAGCAAACTATGGTACATACACACAATGGAATACTATGTAACCCTAAAGAAAAACATAGAATCTGCAAAACACTGCATTACGTGGGTGAACTTGGAGGATGTTATACTGAGTGAAATAAGTCGTTCATAGAAGGACAAATATTAAGTTAGTCCATTATTATAAAAAGTCAAGGAAAGGTTTATTTATGGAAGGAAATTTTCTTTGTTGGTGACCAGGGGTGGGAGGGGAAGGATGGAACACTGTTAGATAGGTAGAGACAAGTATTGATTTGGGCAGTGTACCAAA